GGGGTGGATGCGGGGAACCGCGTGGTGGGGGATGGGATACAGGGGAGGAGGACTGCTGGGCGGGGGAGGCTGTGAAGAGTAGTAAAAGCCACTGCTAGCGCCCTGGTAAACCTGCCCACTCAATGGAGCATGCGCGGCTCTCTTCACACATGCTCAGCAGGCCCTCTCAGGTCTATGGAGCAACCTTGCTGGCGGGAGGATTCCCAAAAAGGGTGAGGGAACTAGGGGACCCTCCCGAGCGCTTGAAGAGTCAGTGTCTGGGAGGGCTCCAAGAGTATCTGCTTGCAGAGCTCAGGAAAAGCAGGTCTCCTATACGCCGAACCACGCCCATTTCTGTATTTAGTGACAAATACCAGGGCGGGGATTTTAGTCCATTATACATTAGACTCCTAGAAGCTAGAAGCAGGAGAAAATACATTTAAAAGAAGTAAGTATACCTGTGATCCCTAACCCCCATCTCCCTTGTCCTTCTCCTGATCCTCCCACTGATTGCCCTTACACTATTGGTGACACACAGTGTTTTTCCTGTTCACACATACATACACACATACACATACACTCCATTTATTGGACTGTACCGTGGCAACAAAGACAGGATGTCCAAAGCTAAGCTTTCCCCCACCCTGCTCCGAGAATATCGGATCTGTAGTGACAATATTCATAATTTTTCTACCTTCTTCAAATCAAGCTTTACTGTTTTGCTACTCTAAACCACACTCTACTGGGTGCTAGCGATATAACGGAGACAAATGAAGTGCAGCTTCATACACGAGGAATAACCAAGATCCTTCTCATTAAAATTCTTAAGAAGTCAAAGTAAAAAGTTATTCCACCTTTGACACTCCACAGAGACTTAGAGCAACTGTAACGGCGGCTAAGCCTGCTCAGTACCTTGGAGAGGTTTCTAATGTTCTCCTTAAAACACATGCCACCCCTGTCCCCCTCCTGCCCCTAGGGCTGTTATGCACTCGTGGAGAACACCGAACCATGCCCTCCATTTATTTCGCCATCTGGCATGGCGAGCTAACAAAGCAGAGGTTGGCACTGAATTGCAAACAAGAATCACTAATAGTGCCCTCCCACTTACTCTGCCTAAAATCTCAAGGAGAAAGTGAGCTTTAGGGACATGGTTCTGTAAAAGTGAAATCATTGAAAGTAGTGGGTGCATGGAGCTATAAACCATGAAAATGTGTGAGAGTGTATGTGCACACATGTGCATAAACTTACGTTTGACTGAACTGACACTGTTTTTAACTAAAGCCAATCATGTGAACGCTGGGTCTTATCCCGCCTTGCCTACTCAAAGCCTTTATTCTGCAACTCTCCTTCCTCTCTTCCACATCATCTATTTTCCTCCACATACTGGACCTTTCCTGTCAGCAAAAACCATGCTGTTATTGACTTCAACTTGCTGGACCACTCACTAGCATTTGATGCAATTCCTGACTTCCTCTTTCTTTAAACATTTTCTTCAATTGGCTCACTGAACAAAGCAGTGTTTGTTTTTCTCCCACATCATGGGCCATTTCTTCTCAGTTTCCTTTGCTGGCTCACCCCTCATATTGCCAATTTCTGACTGTTGGAACTTCAGGGCTCAGTACCCCACCTCTATTTTCCCCAAAATTCTAGGTATCCCTATATCTCATCCAGACCCATGGCTTAAATCCCATCTGTATGTGAGGATGTCCAAAATTATCTCCAACCACAAGCTCTTTTTTTTTTAAGTCAAGACTTGTACCTGCAACTACCTGTTCAACATCTCTACTTGGATACCAAAACATATCACAAACTTAACCTTTTCAAAACTGAATCTGATCCCTAGTCTTCTCCAGGGCAATTAATGACCTCCACCATCCATCTAATTTGCTGATTATATGTCACTTCAGAGAGTCCTTCCATGACCATTCTATCTAACATACCACCCCCATAACTCTCTAGCCTTGCTCTGCTTTTTCCTCATAAAACCAATCAACACATGGTGTGTTTGTTTATTTAAACCCCCAGCACCTAGCATAATTCCTGGAACATAATGGGGCTCAGTAAATATTTTCTGAATGAATGAATCTGTCTTTTGCCATTCTCATGTGCATTTGATAAATATACTGCATCACCTATATTAAGAACCTACCTTAGAATGAGTGTATTACTTTGCTTCATATATAAAATTTAACCATCATATGTATTCATTCATTAAACATTCTCTTTAGCACATAACCATGCATATATCTCCCATATTAAAAAATAATCAAAACTCTATGATTTTACTAGACTCCTGTTTCTCACAACTTTCAAATTAGCAAGCCCTTTTAATCCTATCTCAAATATTTTTAAATGTCTGCTCCATCCCCACTGCCATTGTCTCAGTTCACCTCTGAGAATATTTCCTTAAAGTAATGATAAATTCTATTAACTTGCCTTTTTGTCTCTGAATTTATAATCTCTCTTGCCACCAATCCATCCTCCCCACTGTGAACCCAAAGATCAAAATTCTTCAATGATTCTTCATCATCTCCTGTAAAATATCCAAACTCCTTTGCTCTGAATGCAAATGTTTTCACCATGTGCCTTCTGACTATCTTTCCAGTTTCATTTCATCTTCACTATTTGCCACCTCATACTCTGGTCAAATCTATGCACATGTTATTGCCCCTTCCCTATCCCCGGCCTCCCTATGCAGCTTTTTTTTTTTTTTGTGACAGAGTCTTACTCTGTTGCCCTGGGTAGCGTACAGTGGCATCATTGTAGCTCACCGCAACCTCAAATTCCTGGGCTCAAGCCATCCTCTTGCCTCAGCCTCCTGAGTAGCTGGGACTACAGGTGCTCCCCATGACACCCAGCTAATTTTTCTATTTTTAGTAGAGGCAGGGTCTCCTCTCCAGCTCCTGAGCTCAAGCAATCCTCCCACCTCGGCCTCCCAGAGTGCTAGGATTATAGGCATGAGCCACCACACCTGGCCACTATGCAACTTAAAAGCAATCAATATTAACGACTATTTATTGAGAGCCCACTATGCTCCAGGCACATACTCCTCATGAATTCACTTAGCCCTCATAACAATTTATAAAAATTTACATTATCTGTATTTTACACACAAGGAAGTTGAGTCTGGGAAAGGTTCGGTGATTTTCTCCAAGACCGCACAGCTATTAAGTAGAAAATCTTGAATTAAAAGTAGTTCTGCCTGAGATCAAATCTTCTACCTGAATCTGATGCTCTGTGAAGGCTCTCTGGTCTTACCTTCCCCTCTCCAAACCTTTTCTCCACTTGTCCCCTGTGGAAAATTAGCCACGCATTCCTCTGTGCTTTTATAACATCTTTTCCATATGCTTATTTCAGCACTTTTTTTTTCAGGCAGGTTCTTGTTCTGCAGCCTGTTAGAGTGCAGTGGCATTATCAGAGCTCACTGCAAGCTCAAACTCCTGGGCTCTAGCGATCCTCCTGCTTCAGCCTCCCAAGTAGCTAGGACTGTAGGTATGCACCACCACACCCAACTAATTATTTTTCAAAAAAATTTTCTTGTAGAGACAGGAACTGCCTATGTCACCCCGGCTGGTCTCAAACTCCTGGCCTCAAGCAATCCTCCTGCCTCGGCCTCCCAAAGCACTGGTATTATAGGCATAGCCATTGCACCTGCCCCTCCAGCACTTCTTAATCTTTCTTTACGAGCAATCATTGAGCTTTTCTTAATGTTGTTGAATTAATTAACTTATTAAATTCTGCAGTCACAGAATATGGTTAGTGTTCAATAAATATGTCGGATAGACAAACAGCACTCTCTACTCTTGCCACATTATGTTAAAGCTGTGGGCTGATATAAAAATGAGTAAGACAGTACTTAATTCTGCAGAGCTTAATATTTATTTTTTATTTGTTGACTCTGTATATCAGAGACGTTATTCTGATTTTAAATTACTAGTAAACAGGACCCACATGACCTAATTTCTACTAGCCCAGAAGGCCCTTGGACTGTTGGTGAAAAACATGGACTTTTTATTTAAGCACAAGAGCAGGTATTAGTGAAAACTTGAGCTTCTCAGTTTTCTGCAAAGTATACACAGCAGGAGTTACTGCTTTCTTTTTAGTATTCAGGAGATTTTTAGGCCGAACTTGTCCATAAGACTGTGTATCTCTGAATTTCCATTACTGTAGCATAGCATTAAAAAAATACACAATGGTTGGCAATTTGGTGGTTCTGGAAATAAGATTCACTATATATAGTTTCTAAATAATATATTGTGTATCATAAAAGATGATGATATGGGCTCCACCACCATTAGATCATGTGTTCTGAGTATTTCCAGGACTATGGAAAGGGTACACTTAAACCTCCACACTGACATTTTTACCCTGTGACAAATGGCACACATTGAATGACCAGGGTCAGGGTGAAAGTGAGTGGTCATGTAATTTAACTAAAAAAAGTTAACTGACCCATGTTGGCCCCACTAAGGGGGTGTGAAATATGAACCAAGGGCCTTTGATCAGCAGATCATAGACCACCCAC